GGCAGAGTGGTTAGGGGCAATCAGGTAGGCAGGTGAGTAATCTCTGCAGGATGGGGCCTACACATTCCCTGTCGTACATTCCCTGAGGGGTCCTGGATTTCGAGAGGGTGCAGACCAGAATGAGGGACTCCCTCCTGCTTTTCCCTCCCCACCCCTCATGCACGGGCCACTAGTTCTAGTATAAGAACAAAAGAATTTTCAGAGAAAAAAATCAACATACACTAAATTGAAGTTAGCAGCATCTGATTTTCCATTGAATCACCCAACAAAGAATAAAATCTGTGCTTTGATTTCAAAATCACATTTTTCAGCTAATAAAAACATCTCTGAACTAGAAGGCATTTCACATTTATGGACTGTGGGATAGTATAGCCACAGAATGTGAGTGCCAAAGATATGAGAGCCAATTGTGTGTGTGTGTGTGTGTGTGTATCCTTTTTTTCAAAGTCATTCAAAAAGAATATATTAAGCCTTCAATTTTCTTAACCTGCATTATTTAGACCTTTCTCTCCTCTTCCATTACTAACTAACAATAACTATAATTACCTATTTTTTTATGGCCTGGGGAAGTTGTTATTAAGCAAGCAATGATATGGATGATATTCAAATCAGTGTCAATCATTAATGAAATAAAATTATAATTTACATATATGATGTTCTCTTTAGAAAGTACAAAGGGAAGCTTACCTCCATATCATCTATTATATGAGCACAAATATTTGCCTTTTTTTTTTTTAATTTAGTGAATGACTTGAGGCTGTGAGGATGAGATAGCGGTGCTAAAGAAACTATCAGAATTAAAAACAAGATTTCCTTCACTACTTCATTGTACAGATACTTCATAGGATGTTATATGATAGGTATTGTGCAAGCATCAAGAATGCAACAATAAACACTGTCCATAATACCTGACCTCATGGAACTTGGGGGTTTAAGGGAAAAATATTTATTAGATATTCAATTATAAAGCCAAAGCTTGTTTCTGAAGGGTGCTAAGAAAGCATATATATTCAGGTGTCCCAATCTAACGTGGAGCCTTCAGGGAAGACCTCCTGAGGAAATAATGCTTCTGCCAAAAAGATTTCATTAATGTGCCAGATTTAGCTAAGGCCAGATAAGGATAGGGTAGAAGTGAGGAAGGGTATTTCAAATAAAAGAAGCATCAAGTATAAAAGCCCAGAGAAAAGAGGAGAGCTTTAGAAGAATGGAAAGAAATTTTGTGAGGATAGAAGAGGAAGGTAAGACACTGTCAGCCATGAGATGGGATGGGAAGGCTCCAGATCATGGAAATCCTGCTCAATCTCCTTAAGAGATCTGAGATTTCATCTTGAAGGCAATGGAAAGGGTTAGACTTGCTGCTGGATTAGGTATTAGCTGACATGTGGAGCATGGGTGGAATTTATTGCCCAGAGGATGCAGAGAGCGTTGTTAATATATTGAAATAATAATTGGGCAAGAGATGATTGGCGTTCTAGATTTGGGTGGTGTCTGAGGGAATGATAGACCATTCCTGATGATGGAAATACTCTGGCATGAAAAATAACATGAGGAGCCATGTAATTATAAAGTCACCAAGCAAGTTCTAACAGTGTGAATTGAAATGAGTGTTGAGCAACAGAAAAGTCTATATAGCAAGAATAAGTGTTTTTGAAGAACATTTCATCTTTGCTTATCAAATTATGCACATGACATGTTTATTACATCAATCACATAGAAGTCAAAAACATATATTCATCAATAATCACATTTTCCTACGATAACCAATATTAAATTTTAACATACCTTTTCCAAATATATTGTGTGTGCAAGCACACAAAAAAAAGAAAGCAAATTTTTTGTATACTTCTTAAAAATAAAGATAGGCTTGGAATTTAAGTTATTTGTATCATTCTTTTTGTGTCTTCATTCTTAATACACCAAAATATATATTCTAATAAGATAAAATATTTTATAACATTTTAAGAATTACATAATACAGAGAGGTAGATATAAATGTTTTTATTAACCTTTATATTTTCTTCTATTTTGACATTTACATTTTAAATTAAATACTAATGTGTGAAATAGTTTCAGTTATATATATATATATATATATATATATATCTTGTGAAGATAGAAGAGGAAACCAAGACACTGTCAGCCATGAGATGGAGTGAGAAGGCTCATATATATGAATATATATATTCATATATATGTGAATATATATATTCACACACACACACACACACACACACACACACACACACACAATAAGATCTAAATGATAGTACTTTTCTATTCCTCTAAAATTTGTGAGCAAAATAGTAGTGGGTTTATTGTGATAAGTATAGTGTTTAATAAGAGTAGTACATGAAAGCACTTACAAATTATTCTAAAGATGAGAGAAATTTATATCTATTTTGTTCCTTAGCAAACTGCTTCAGTCTTTGCTGTGGGCTTCAGTACCACTTGTTTCTTTTATTTCTTAGGCCTTATCTAAGTTATTGCCAAAATGTCTTAGCTTAAAATTTCATGTTAGTTTATTTTTATGGAGTAAAAAACTTTCAGTATACATGATTTAGCACTGAGTGGCAGCCTAGATTCTTTCTAAGTGGAGAAAACACATATTTGCAAGAATTATTTAAGGTCAATTTAAACGTGTTTCTGTCAGAAAAAAAATTTTGTTCAAACAAGCCAGGCTCACACTTAGTTCAGATCTATGCATAGGGACCACTGTTTGAGACTTGTATTTGTTCCTTAAGCTGTCATACTTTCTTTAGATTAGCTTGATATAAAAGCAAACATTTGAAGATGTAAAACATACATATAATTTTTTTTCAAATTGCTATACAAGTCAACATGTTAAGCTTTAAATGAAACTGAAGGGCACTCAAAGTCACTTTTGTCAAAGCCTTTTCCTATAATAACGTATTTGAATGATGCAAGATATATTCTCTTGTGATGTCCAAGCGATTGATAAACTAATTTGTATGGATTATACAATAACTATCCAGTCTCTGTGGTTTCTTTAAATGAGATGAATATGAATTTCTATTTTCTGACTAGGACATAAAGTATGCTAGGCCTATTTTATATGCTTCAGTGTGCCAAAGTTGTTATTAAGTTTGGTGTTCATAAATTACTAATCTGGAATCAGAGGTTGAATGTATTTTGAAAACTTAAACCTGTTTCACCTGAACATGTTTAACTAGATAATAAGAAACATCAAAAAGACAAAACCCTGAGATCAATGGTCATTTTTTGTAAAGCTATTATATGCTGTTTAAATTGGTTGTTCGGGTCTGTCTATAACATAAGTTTAATAACCTAGCTCAAATGCAGATTTCTAATTTTCAATTAACATAGGAATAATTTTGTTTGCTAAAATAAAATAAATGAATGAATGACAAGTCTGAAACATGAAATGTTCTAGGTAGCACTTTTTAAAATTCCAAATTTCAAAAAATCATGTGGCAACTGTATAGCTCAAGCTTTAAGTATTAACTTTTAACCTTTGACCTTACAGATTTTAACCAATGAAATGTCTCTTTAAACTTTAAAGGAAACAATGATAACGAGCGCCTGGCGATTGCTAGACAGCGAATTCCATATCGACTTGGTCGAGTAGTTGATGAATGGCTACTCGACAAAGGTAAAAAACATTGATTAAAACTTCAAATAAAAAAATAATTTGAACATAACCAAGTAGTTCTTCATTGTAACACTAATAAACATAAAAAATAAATTTTCCGTAAAACTAAATTAAAAACAAATTTAAAACAGTAAAATACAGATAGTAATATTTGCATACCTTGTATAATAATTTCTATACATTTTTAGACGTACCAGCTGTTTAATAATCTTACCCTGTAAATTTAAGGTTAAAGGGACTGTTAAATATAATCCACTAACTCAATCTATGAAGGTACTCACATTAAGCATTAACCCAAAATGATAAATCATTCAGAGATTATATTATGTTCCAGCCTTTAAATTATTAACTAAAATATATGTAGTTCTGATATCTTTATTACGGTCCTGACAAAAGCAAACAAAAACTCTTGGTTTAAACTCTAGGCATCTTAAATAGTGGGCAATATGGATTGCCGGTCAAAAATGAAGTCCCTTTAACGTTTGCAACCTTCTAAGAGCATTTGGGAACAAGCCCTAATTAAAACTGAACTTAAAGTTGTGTGCATGCTTTTTATGAGCAGAGAACACTCTGCTAAAACTGGATACTCAATTTGATGATATTGGTACTGTTGCTGAGGATTGCTGTTTGATGGAAATGAGCCATAATTTCTCCATCGGTTTGTGTATCATTCCTGAAGCCGCTTTTTACATCTGAAGCTATTTTTTCATTCTATTTTGTTTTAATAGACTTGCTGAAAGCCAATCAGAAAAATAATTTTGTAAGTTTTTTGTCTCTGACATGCTCAGTGTAAACCATGCATTTCTTTTCAGTGTGATTACCGAACAAATAGAATAATTCAATAACAATGGACTATTGCCTTAAAAAAAAATAAACATTTCTAAAGAATAGCATATAGATACCTGTGGCCATTAAGTGAATTATGAAATTTTTACCAGAAATTTAAAATTAGATATCAGCTGCTATGGATTAGTTTCTACCAGTGGTAATTTTAGCAGGACAAATACTTGAAATGTTAGATATATCACATTTTTAAATTAAACAGTTTACACTTAAGAGACCAACAGCATAAATCTTGAGGTAAAAGGGTAAGGGACCCACTAATAATTGATTGACAATACGTATCTTTGATTGGTCTTTTAGCAAAAGCACTACATTTACAATAAGTTGAGAATTTTACAAGTATTTGCCAATGATTATGCATTTCATGGACACCTCATTTATCAGCAATGAATTATGAGTCAAATGCCTCTCTTATAGTTTATTGCTCTCATTATCCACCCCATGAAAGATCTGTTTTTTATCATCCTTTGTAGAATGTAGAGTTCACAATCAACATTTTTGCATGTATGTAATATTATTTTTACAGGGCGTCAGCTCACAATCTTCAATAGCCAAGCAACCATAATAATTGGCGGGAAAGAGCAGGGCCAGCCCTTCCAGGGCCAGCTCTCTGGGCTTTACTACAATGGCTTGAAAGTTCTGAATATGGCAGCTGAAAATGATCCCAACATCGCCATAGTGGGAAATGTGAGACTGGTTGGTGAAGTGCCTTCCTCTATGACAACTGAGTCGACAGCCACTGCCATGCAGTCAGAGATGTCCACGTCCATTATGGAGACCACCACGACCCTGGCCACTAGCACAGCCAGAAGAGGAAAGCCCCCTACGAAAGAGCCCATTAGCCAGGTAAGTGCGGATTTCATTCCTTCGTGGTGGACCTGCGGTTATGAAAGGGGGCGTTTTTTTGAAATGTGATTGTTTCTGATATCTGGCATTACGGTTTCCTTTGAGTCTTGTTTAATACAGTGCACTCAGCTTAACTATGAAATGTGTATACACTGTTGATGTGGGATTTGGACTTTAATAGATTGCTTTGTGTTGGTTTGTTCACTGCTTGCTGATAGTCTTGATTCATTAGTAACATTAGTCTAGCTCAGGCGGAGAGGGTTATCTGCTAATTACATAGGATTTTCGCTATTTAAGTTACATGAACAAGTTAGTTGAATGTGGTGAAAGGCCTTATTTGTTCAAGCATGCTATTTCATCAAAATAAAATGAATGCAAATTTGAAAATTTTAGAAATTACCCACAAAAGGTCTATTGTATTGGAAGTCATAAAGTTTTGAGTTGGTAGGTATGTGGCTCTATGGTGAACAATAGTGATACTCTCTTACTGTCTATAAGAAATGCATACTGTTAGTTACCTGAGGAAAAAGACCCAACATATGGTACTTAAAATCTGGCTTGGACTAACATATTTTGTATGATATGTGGCTAACTGCCTTCATCTAGACTGCACTTAAGTGAGTTTAGTGTTCAAGTTTGTGTCTACACTTTTTGAAAAACATTTTAAATGTTGAATTTGTACAACAGGGAAGTATATTAAAACTCAATCAAGGCATACTTCTTGATTGCCTAACAAGTATCAGGCATTGGTTTAGGTATTGCATTGCACCATGGAAGAACAAGAAAACAAGTAAGCTACCTATCTCACAGAGCTTAAATTTTATGAAAAGCTATTAGAATGCTGTTGAAATTCTATTACATTCTGATTGACATGTATTACCTTTGTCAGTAATCTGTTGTTGTTAGATTGGGTGTTCTCGTTGGTCCAAAAATAGATTGTGTCCTTTTGTTTTTAAGAGTGTCTTCAGTAGGTGCCATATAAAGCTTTTCCAAATACATTATTTCTCTAGAAACCCATATTCTAAAGACGTGAGAATGATCAAAATTATTTTTAAATTGTTTTTATTTCATGTGTTTGAAATGGACAAGTGTCAGAATTAGAGAGTAAAAGAAAGCAAAGACTGTTGTATCAGCATCCTATTTACTATTAATTTATTTTTACAAGAGAAAGAAGAAAATAGATTCTGAATTTTATTTTGAAGGAAAAGGTGGAGGGAAAGAATAGAGGAAGAGAAAATGTCCTAAGAGAGATGATAAAAAATTGTATTGTAAATTCTTAACTGTTGTGATGAATATATGTGTGCGCCACCCCTCCCCCACCTCTCTCTCTCTCTCTCTCTCTCTCTCTCTCTCTCTCTCTCTCTCTCTCAGCATTTGGCCACAAAGTAAAATGGACAGTCTAAGAGGATCTTTATCAATATATATTTATTGATCACCCTCCATGTGAAATACACTGGTTTGGCACTGAGGATACGTTAGCAATAACAAACAAAAAACCTGCCCTTATGGAATAACACATTTTAGTAAGCATGTGGCTTAAAGAGTATTTTGTTGATTTTTTTCTATCTTATTTGGGTTTATAAGATTGTTGAAAATAACATTTAGCACCTTGGATAAACACTTGTGACTTTAGATTTATTCTTGCTCAGCAGCTCCATTTGATAATCTTTTCCAATATCTCACTGGTGATTAGTTACTGTGGTTGTTGGTTTAATGTTTATTTAACAACTAGAGGCCCAATGCACGAAATTCATACAAAAGTAGGCCTTCCTCCCCCTGCTGCTGGCACCAGCTTCCCTCTGGCACCCAGAACCCAGGCTTCCCTCACAGCCCTGGCTTCGTCCTGAAGGACATCTGGTTTAAGTAGCATATTATGCTTTTATCGTTATAGATAAGCAAATTAAGGTGAATCATATATAGAATAAATGAAGCATAGAACAATTGATAGACTATTTCATTCAAGTAAAATCCTATACCTATATAATAAAAGGCCAGTGACCATAATGGTGTAATGACCTGAACAACTGATTGACAAGTCGCTATGAGGTGCATTGACCACCTCTCAATTTCTTCCCCCAGCCCGCAGGCTCCGATTGCTAGATGGCAAACAGGGAACCATGGGGAACTGGGGTCAGCAGCGGCGGGACGGGACTGGGGACTGGCAAGCAGGCAGAAGATGACCCTAATCAAAGTCTAGGCCCAGGGACCCTACCTGCATACTATTTCATGCACTGAGCCTCTAGTAATTCATAAGAGGGCATTCTAGGGTAATTAGAGTTGAAACATTCTCATTAATAAAGTTAGAAAGAACTGGATATTTTTCTTAGTAGTTTTGTTTCATCATTAATGAAATTACAGTTGCCTAAGTTCCTAGGTAAACCAGATGTATCTCAAAAGAAAAAGAAAAATGATCAGCTTTGTTTTGTGTATTTTATCAATTAGTAACTGCTATATATTAAGAAATTATGTTTTAAGAAAATATAGCTATTTTATTTGCAAGCTGAGTACCTACAAATGAAGAAATAAAAGTTAATATATTTTATAACATTAATAAATATAAAAGGAAAACAGTTAACTGCTCCTTAATTGCCAATTAAAAAAGCCTCTTTATTATAAGCTATAACATGTTTAAAGATAGCAGTGCTTTAGAGAGGTAAATGATCTAATCAGTTAGTAATTACTTGGTTCATTTGAGGAGGTATTGACTTCAATAAAAGATTACTAGTTTCATTAAAAAATAGAGATATTACATTTTTAGGTTTTTTAACAGACCAAATATAGCAATTATATAATTTGGATTAATATGTTACAGATATTCAATTATAGCAACAATATTTTAAAGTTAGACTAATAGTTTTTAAAATTGTATTTTTATAAAGATCTGTATGTGATTACAGGTAATGCCTGTATATGGGGGTACTCAAGTGAAAGAAAGGAAGTTTTTTATTTTTGAGTAACAGAATGATTTGTTGTGAATTTTCTTAATCACACAATTGATTTTTAAATCACTCTGCGATTACAAAGAGAATTAATACATGTAGATTTTCAATCTATCTTTCTTAGAACTGTCAAAATCTTGGAAATTTAAGTGATTTATAATGATAATTGCAGGACTATAACCTTTGACCCAATTTTGCAGGTTAGATGAAGCAGCTTCCTTTAAACTCTGTCTGCAGTACAAACCATCTCTATGCGCTTTTATCAATTGCCTTACTGCATTGTGTGCCAGCCAGGGTCATTTTATTTTCAAATACCACCCTGGACTGTTTTCTCAATCAAAGTGCATTTTCCTCAGTGATAACACTGAACCACTTTAGCTTCAATGGCACTGTACCTCGGGGTGATTGCATGTTTTAGAACTATGGCAACAGATTTTTGGTCAAGCAGAATTAAATTGGATTCATTTCAAATAGATGAGATGAGGTGTTTTTTTTTGGCCATCTTGCAGGGCAGGCAGTAGAGGAGAAACGTGTTTTTGGTTTTCACAGAGTCACAGAACATAAAATTGTATTCATCAAAATGTCATCTCAAAAGGTCTTGTTTATTTACATTGCCACTTAAAAGTAAAAAATCTTAAAAAATAAAAGTTTTTCCTCTTTAATTAATGAACAATTTTCAGACCGATATTTATTTTAGAAAGACATTGTGCCTATGAAGAACTAGAGTACATTTTCCAACTCTTGTGGTTAAATGGCTTTTTAAATGTGAGTATAACAATATTAATACCTTTTATATGGATTATATAAACTTCATAAAATTTGTTTTACTTAGAAGACTAAACATATAAATGTTTCCATAAGACATGCTCATTTCAAAAAAAAAAAAAACCCAGAAATTTCCTATAATGCTAATCTCAGAAAGCGATGATCTACAAATATTTGATAGTATAAAGATTTTTAGGATGCTAAGAGCTTCCCAGGATAGGGGCAGGAATTTCATGCAATATTTCTGGCTGTTAAATAATCCCCCCACTTCTGTGTAATTTGACAATGTCTTATGGGTATATATGTAGCTTAACATAAATAAGTAAACGTGAAGCACCATGCAAAGAGCAATATTCAGTGCTGTTGGTCGCCAGTCTGCAAAGAAAGGAGAGTGGAACCCTGTGATTTCTTTTAAGATCAAGATGGTGACATTTATTCTGGTGGAGGCTTTGTATCACATTTGGTGATCTTTTAGGTGCTTTCCTTTAAGCGTAGTTTACAAGCTATATGCCTATTGAAGAGAATATGGATTCATTGTAATGCCTGTTACTTCAAGGGAGTGCAGTGTGATGGAAGGAGCACAGTGAATCAGGAAACCTGATTTCTGTTTTCAGCACAATCATTACCTTGTTGTGTAACTTGGACAAGTTGCTTAATTAACCTCGCTGTACTTTGGCCTGCTACCTCGTTACAAGCGGAATGAACCAGGAATCCCTTGAATTATACTGAGCTCTAAAATTTCATTGTCTCTAGCAGTAAGGCACTTAGGTCTTCTGATGATTATTTAACGAAGCACAGATTTCATCCTTGACTTTTACACAGCATGGCCATGCCTCTGGGTTGGCCTATATAACCCTCGTGTACTTGCTGTCCCGGTGTAATTATTATTCATAGTATCCATTTTTTACTCTTAAAAGCTCCCATTTTAGTCTAGAAATTATATTGCAATCTTCTTGAACAATAGATATAAATCCATCTTTGGAAGAAAATCATGCTTCATAAGAATAATACAGAGTGAAGCCCTATCTTTACATTCCAAGCAGAAACTGACTGGTATCTTAATCTCGTTTCAGGACTCGATAGGGTTTTTCATCTCATTTCAAAAATCTTAAGGAAGGAGAGAGAAGAAGGCTATGGAAGAGTCTGGTTTTTGGCTGGAGGGACTCTATTTGCAATGGTTAATAAGAGGTTAAATTATGGCCGAAACCGATTTGGCTCAGTGGATAGAGCATCAGCCTGCAGACTGAAAGGTCCCAGGTTCGATTCCGGTCAAGGGCATGTACATTGGTTGCAGGC